TGATGATGATGATGATGATGATGATGATGATGATGATGATGATGAAGATGATTGTCATTATTATCTTTTTTAATCTTAAAAATTCTTCTTCTTCTTCTTCTTTTTCTCCTTCTCCTTCTCCTTCTCCTTCTCCCTCTCCTTCCCCTCCTTTCTCTTTTGTCCCATCATCATTATATTTTACTTTTATTTCCTGCCCAGCCTAACAACCACATCATAGACCTGGTTCAGCTGATGCTCTTCCCAGACCAAAATCTGCACGACGCCCACAGCGAGCTCCACAAGGCCATGTCGGAGAGAGAAATTGTGGCTCAGAGTATGACTTTTCTCTTGGCGGGCTACGAGACCACCAGTGCTGTTCTCGCCTTCTTCTGTCACGAGATGGCTAAGAATCCGGACATTCAGGAACGGCTGTACCGCGAGATGGAAGAGAATATTGGAAAAGTATGGTTATAAGTTGTTAGGACTATTTTTTTAAATGTGAAAGGAATCTTCCCGAGAGAGAGAGAGAGAGAGAGAGAGAGAGAGAGAGAGAGAGAAAGAGAGAGAGAGAGAAGCAGGCTGAGACAGAGAGACAGAGACAGAGAGAGAGAGAGAGAGATGCCAATAATAGTCTTACTTAAAAAAACAAAAAACAACTAATGGGGGTATAAAGACCTGGAAAAAAGCCGAATGAGTGATGGTGTACAAAGTGTAGACATGAGGAATGAGACACGGAACATGTGATGTGTAAATACATGCTTATTGTTGTTTTGATTTATATTGATTAAGGTCTCCCCCCCCCCTCCCCATTGACGCTCATACATTCATATACACGTACACTCGCTCCCGATCCTGACACCCCACGGGCTACACACACACGCACACACACACAGACACACACACATACACACACATACACCTCTCCCCCCCCCAAAAAAAAAAACAACTAACAAAACAAGAACACACACACTTGACAATATTTTGGAGATAATAAAATTCACAAATATCCTAACGAAAACTGCAACTCTCTCTTCAAATACAGAACGAGGTGGATTACGACTCTGTTCAAAACTTGCCTTTCTTCGACGCCACGTTTGACGAGATCTGCCGGCTGTACCCAACTGCTTCCTTGTAGGTTACCTGTAGATAGATAGATAGATAGATAGATAGATAGAT